GGTTGCTGGTTCGATTCCTAGTCAGGGCACATGCCTGGGTTGCAGGGGGCATGGGAGGCATGGGAGGCAACTGATCACTGTTTCTCTCACACATCATATTTTTCTCCCTCCTTTCCCCTCTCTCTAAAAACAAATAAAATCTTTTTTAAAAAAAGATACTATATATTGCCATGTATAATGCACTCCCACGTATAATGTATACCCACATTTTTGGCCCAAATTTTCAGGAAAAAATAATTTTAATATTTTAATTCAGTTTTTATTTATTTATATTTAGCAACAAAACTAATTATCATATTCCAGAGTATTATTTTGCATATGGATGTCATTATCATTATCTATCATGTAGGTAGCATATGCTTCTAGAGTTACACTTTCCATGCATAACCATAAATAAAAGGATTAAAAACATTTATATAGGTATGGAATTAGTGCTACCCATGTATAATGTGCATCCTTATTTTTCACTTAAAAATTTGGGCAAAAAATTAGGCATTATACACGGCAAATGCGGTACCCCATGCTTCACTATCCAGCCTTCTCCCTGCTCCCAATTCCCAGCAACCACTGATCTGTGTACCCGCCCTAGAATTTTGCCTTATCCACAGTGTCATTGGGTTGGAATCGTGCAGGATGAGCCCTTTTCAGGCTGGCTTCTTTCACTTAGCACAGTGCATTTAAGATCCATTCATGTCTGTGTGTCTCTATAGCTCATTTCTTTTTATTGTTGAGTAGTATTTCTTTTTTTTTTTAGATTATTTATTTTTAGAGAGGGAAGGAAGGACAAAAGAGAGAGAGAAACATCAATGTGTGGTTGCTGGGGGCCATGGCCTGCAACCCAGGAACGTGCCCTGGCTGGGAATCGAACCTGCGATGCTTTGGTTCACAGCCCACACTCAATCCACTGAGCTACGCCAGCCAGGGCTTATAGTGTGCATTTTTTATTGTGATAAAATGCATACATATATATATATATTTAAAATTTACCATCTTAACTATTTTAACTGTTGGGTTCATTGCTGTTGAATACGTTCAAGTCATGCCACCCACCATCGCCAGCATCAGGTCCCTATAACGCTCTCCATCTTGTAAAACAGAAATTACACCTGTCCATCGGTAACTCCCGTTCTCCTCCCCCAGCCCCTGGCAGCCCCACTTTATTTTCTGTCTCTCTGATTTCGACTGTCCCAGATACCTCTTATCAGAGGAATTATAGGAAATTCATCTTTCTGTGACTGGCCTGCTTCACTTAGCCTAATGTCCGTAAGGTTCATCTGTGTTGTAGCACATGTCAGAATTTCCCCGCCCCCTTCTTTTTTATCCTCGCCCAAAGACATTATTGATTTCAGAGAGGGAGGAAGTGGCGGGGAGGGGTGGTGGAGAGAAATACCAATGAGAGAGAGAAACAGCAATCAGTTGCCTCTCCTACATGCCCCAACTGGGGACCGAAACTACAGCCTTGGCATATGCCCTGACCGGGCAGTCAAACCCGTGACCTTTCTGTTCACAGCAGGACGCTCCAGCGCCCGAGGCACACCGGCCAGGGTGCCTTCCTGTTTAAGGCTGGACAGTACTCCAGTGTATGGCTGGACCGCGTTTTGCTTGTCCCCCCGGTGTGATCGCCTCACTGCTCCACCTCGTTTTTCTTTTGCCTGAGTTCCCTTATGTATTTGTGCTGACAGGGTGGTTAGAGGCCTAGAGAGTCAAATACCCCAGGTCTGAATCCTGGATCCTTGTTTTACTGGTTATGAGACCCTCACAATCAGTAATAATAAACAATAAATCCCTGCACTTTATCCCTCACCTGTAAAATGGGTGTGTGGTGGTGGTGCTTAGAGTTAGACAGACAGTAACGACTTAGCACGGTGCCTGGCATCTATTAGGTGTAACAACAAACATTAGTTATTAAAACATGATCATCATTTGTACTTTTATTTTTTGTGGTTTTTTAGTATATTTTATTGATTGTGCTATTAGAGTTGCCCCATGTTTTCTCCCCTTTGTTCCCCTCTGCCCTGCATTTCTCCTCCCACCCCCCTTTGCCCCCCCAGCATTCCTCTTATCCCTTAGTTCATGTCCATGGGTCGTATATAAAAGTTCTTTGGCTTCTCCATTTCCTATACTGTTCTTAATCTCCCCGTCTGTTTTCTACCTACCATTTATGCTTCTTGTTCCCTGTACCTTTTCCCCTCTTCTCCCCCCTTCCCTTCCCCACTGATTACCCTCCTTGTGATCTCAATTTCTGTGACTCTGTTCCTATTCTAGTTGTTTGCTTAGTTCATTTTGTTTTTGTTTAGGTTCAGTTATTGATAGTTGTGAGTTTGTTGTCATTTTACTGTTCATAGTTTTGATCATCTTTTTTTTTTTCTTAAAGAAGTCCCTTTAATCATATAATAAAAGCTTCGTGATGATGAACTCCTTTAATTTGACCTTCTCTGGGAAGCACTATATTTGCCCTTTCCTTTTAAATGATAGCTTTGCTGGATAGAGTAATCTTACATGTGGGCCCTTGCCTTTCATGACTTTGAATACTTCTTTCCAGCCCCTTCTTGCCTACGAAATTTCTTTTGAGAAATCAGTTGATAGTTGTATGGGCACTCCTTTGTAGTAACCGTCTCCTTTTCTCTTGCTGCTTTAAGATTCTCTCCTTATCTCTTATCTCGGCTAATGTAATTATGATGTGCCTCGGTTTGGTCCTCCTTGGGTCCAACTTCTTTGGGACTCTCTGGGCTTCCCATACTTCATGGAAGTCTGTTTTCCTTTGCCAGATTGGGGGAGTTCTCCTTCATTATTTTTTCAAACAAGTTTTCCATTTCTTACTCTTCCTGTTCTCCTTCTGGCACCCCTACAATTCGAACGTTGGAACATTTAAAGTTGTCCTGCAGGTTTCTAAGCCTCTCCTCATTTTTAAAAAAATTCTTGTTTCTTCATTCTGTTCTGTGTGAATGTTTATGTCTTCCTTCTGTTCCACGCCATTGATTTGAGTCCTGGTTTCCTTCATTTCCTGTTGGTTCCCTATATATTTTGCTTCATTTCACTTAGCATAGCCTTCACCTTTTTCTCTATTTTGTAACCATACTCAACCATTTCTGTTACCAGTGTTTTGAACTGTGCATCTGATGGGTTGGCCGTCTCTTCATCACTTGGTTCTATTTTTGGAGCTTTGATTTGTTCTTTCATTTGGGCCATATTTCTTTGTCTCTTGAGTAGCTGTTACATTATGAGGGGCAGAGCCTTAGGTATTCGCCAGAGCGGGGCAACCTACGTTGTGGCACTGTCTGTGGGAGAGGGGTCCGAGAGGGAACAGTGCCACTTGCTGGGTTCTTGGCAGGCTTTCAGTCACTTCCCCCACTACTCACAATCACATTGGACCTTCTGGTGCTGATTCCCAGGTCGGTGGGTTTGTGTACATTCTAGGACCCTATGGGTCTCTGTAACAAACTCTTATGTGAGGCTGGGAGTTTCTCCCACTTCTGCAACCCCCAGAGGTTTTGAGGCTTTATTTCCCTGTGCTGGAACCCCGGGTTACGGCATCTATCTCGCTCCCCAGGTGCTCCTCCTAGTTTATCCGCACACAAATGTGGGACTGCCAGTGCCACCAGCTGTCACCTTTCCATGCCTCTCTCCATCCTAGCTGCCCATCTCCACCCCTCTTACTGGTCTGGATGAACGTTTCTTCTTTCTTTAACTCCTTGGTTGTTGGACTTCCATACAGTTCGATTTTCTGGCAGTTCTGGTTCCTTTTTGTTTTTAAATGTTGATGGTGTCCTTCTTTTGGTTGTGTGAGGAAGCAGAGTGTATCAACCCTTGCCTCCATCTTGGCCAGAAGTCATCATTTGTACTTTTAAAACTTCTCATTCTTTTTGGCATGAAGTTGAGGAGGAGGAATATCCTAAATTAATTGAATTAAAATTTAGAGACAATTTCATTGCCGTGAGTGTTTTTTAGTGTCTCATCCTAGGTGTGAAGGTGATGTTTAGAACATACTGTGCCTGAGCACCGCAAGGCCTGCTGCCTTGAGCCCTTCGGCCTGGTGACGCCAGCGGGAGGAACTCTCTGGGTGCCTGTGGGCGCCGGGGCCCCTGCACGTCCACAGGGAGGAGACCCGTCAGTGGGCCTGCAGGTGGCCACGTGGGCTGGGCTGGGAGCTGGAGGGCTGGTGCTGCCTCTGAGGGCTCTGGCTGCGCCTTGTTCCAGCTCTCGCCCGCTGCCCTGCTCCCAAGAAGAGGGAGGAGGAGGGACCGGGAACAAGTTGTCTTTATGCTCTGCTTTTGGGTAGCTCAGTGGCACTGTGGGTATTGACAGTCATGCCAGGGAAGACACTGGAATTTAGAGCTACACGTGGAGTGTCAAGAGAGGGTTTCTGGGTCTGTGGGAAGAGCTGGGAAGCTGGCATATTGGTGTGGGCAGAGCCCTCTGCCGCACGGGTTTAGAAAATCCTCTTGCCGGCTGTGGTGTGAGAGCTTGAGACATCAGCAGCAGTACTGTCACCATTGAGTGTTAAATCTTAAAGATCTGGTTGGGGGCGTTGCCCTGCCATGTGAAAGCAGTGAGGCTCAATTTGCGGGGCATCAGGCTCTTCATATGCTGCTGGACCTTCTTAATAAGGATGAGATCCACCCGCCAGCAGTGGTAGATAAGTTCTGTGACTGGCTCTTTGATCTTAGAGAAAAGAAGGTAGGGGGAGAGGGGAACGTTGATTTTTGTTGTTCCATTTATTTGTGCCTTCATTGGTTGATTCTTGCATGTGCCCTGACCGGGGATCAAACCCGCATCCTTGGTGTGTCAGGATGATGCTCTAACCAACCGAGCTCCCCGGCCAGGGCCGTGACTGACGCTTTGCCCTGGGCAGTGGCACTGAGGACTGGTGGATGTGAGGACCTCCTTGCGCTCCTCACCATCTGTTCCTGATGTTGTCACAGTGCCTCTCCTTTTCTGAAGTGCCCTTGATTGTCTGAGTAAGTTTGGCCGTCACTTGTCTGAATGTTTTGTGATTGCAGGACCCAGTCAGCCCCAAGAGCAGCCGTCCAGTAGCTCTGAGGAGGCATCCGGGACAGAGGAGGAGGAAGAGGAGGAGCCCAGCTTCATCATGCGGCGATGACTGCAGGTCACAGTGGCTACCTGCAGCCAGGGCCTCAGAAAACCCTCCACACGAACCAAGGAGAATGGAGGCTGTTTGAACTCGGTTTCTACCCCAAGCCTCGCTGGACACAACCAAGTGGGGAGCCATCCCGACTGCCCGCGGCCCCGCCAGTAGGCAGGGCTCGGAGCCTGGGGGACAGAAAAGACTGTCTCCTGGACACTCAAGGGCAGTGCCAAGGAGAGCTCACTGATGTTTCCGCTAAAAGCGGGGAAATGTTTAACCTTCTTCTTCTCCTGGTGCTTGTTCCCACGTACTTAGACATTGATGAGTTTTGGGCTGATTTCTATGAAAGGAATGTTTATTTAGTAAAGAGCAGGAGAACTTTGGGTTTTGTTTGGACCTGTGAAATGTCGAAGCTGTGGGGAAGGCTGTGAAAGAGGTGATGGGCCTTTTCCCAGACTCACCGAGGGTGCTGGCCATGGTTCTGCCACTGACTCACACTGCGGAGCACCTGACCCTCATTTCCTCTGGCCCAGGGTGCAGACTGCACCCCAGAACACATGCTCCCGCCCGGGCGAGCTCCCTGTACACACTGTTTTGGGAAGCCCTGGGCACATGCAGAGGGAGGTAGATGTAGGACGTGACCAGAGGGCTGGGCCAGAAGAACGGGGGCTGGGTGTGTGAAAAGAGCTTTCAGGGAAGAATTGGAGACCAGAAAAAGCAGCAGATGGCGCATCCAGGCTGGGCCGAGCCGGAGGAGAGGGCATGGGAACCCCAGCCAAGCCGGGAGCCGGACCGTTGGCTGGGAGCTGCGGTTCTGTCCCGAGGTCGAAGGGGCTCTAAACAGAAAGTTGGAGGCCGCCTTGCAGGCAGCAGGGGGGCAGAGATGGCTTCTGATTAGGGCCTCTGGTCCCTATTTGGATTAGTTTTCCCCATCTCCAAGTTTCTAAGACTATTCTGTGGCTTTTATGGAATTGGATACAGTTATGGAAATTAGGGTTTTGTGTGACCGTTCCACCCTTCTTTCACTTTTGTGGTGCTGATTTCCCTGGCACTGCTGCCCTAAGCCAGGTGGCATCTGCGTGACTTCTGTCCTTTCAGCAGTGAAGTTACGAGTTTGGTTTTGTTTTTTAAACAGTTCCTTTAAATTGCGATACATCAAAGTCCAGTTAATATTTATTAAGTGATTCACAGGAATTTCTGTTTCCCAGGAAGCTGGAAGGGAAAGCTAACTCTGGTAATCGGGCACACACCCTGGCTGCACATCCGGAAACCCCTTTGTCTTCGGTCAGGGACTGGCTGGTCGGTTTGCATTTTGTCTTTTGTTCCCTGCCTGTGACTCGCTGGTCTCCCTGTCTCCCTGCAGAGTGTGTGTGTGTCACAGCTCTTGCTCTGAGTCCAGCCTGGATCTCTCGGCTATTGTCTCTCCCTGGAGACTGGGGAGCGTGCCAGAGGTCGGAGCCGGAAGTGGGGAACTCGGGGCGAGTCACTTCCTGCCTCTGCCTGGTGCACCTGGCCAGGAGCTTTAGCGAGACACGTGCTGGGCAGGTGGGCAGAAGACCAAACAAATAGGGGTGTGTATATTTTATGCCTTTACTAGGTACCAGAAGATGGTGTTTAGGTAGGAAACACCCTGTAGCAGTTTCTGACAGTTTTGAAGGGGTCATCTGTACCTTAGATTGAGTGACTCAGTCTTCCTTCTTTAAAGTGTTACTTGGGAAAGGGAACAATTAGATGTCCTCAGTGAGAAGGCAGTGGGTGATACTGAGAGGACAGTCCCCCCTAAAGAACGCCACAATTGGGGGGAATCATGAAATAATGCCCTTATTGACTAGCTTGTGGGGGGGAGAAGTTAGACGACAAGGGTGTGCACAGCTTGGTTGTCTCAGCAGACCTGTGTGAAGAGGGTTCTGACGCACTGGACACTGGACCGTCCTTCGGTCAGTGCATCACCAGACATTTGCTGAGCATAAACACTCGGTGGCAGCCCTGCGCCTAGTTATTTGTATCAGAAGACTGTTTGCCCTTTAATTGGAGATCCAGTATAGATTTACCAAACAAGATTTATAAACAGAGTTCTGGAAACTTGCCCAGGTCAGCCAGCAAATAAGTGGTAGAGCTGGCCTTTGAACCCACTCAGTGTGACTCCAGAATCCATCACCCTCGTCCCTACAACCTAGCACTGCGAGCTCTGCTCTGGGGGAGGAGCCTTGCAGCCTCACCTGGTGGGGCGGGGCTCCCAGGGCTGCGCAGGGCTGTAGGCTGCAGGCCCCACCTCTAATATGACGCGCGTGCGTGCGTGCGTGCGTACACAATAATCATAAAATGTAGTTTTACGTATATAACTGATTATCATTTTCCACAAATGCCATGTTTGTGACTTCACTAAAATTTATTTGTAATCCCAAAATTAATATTCGGGCTTTTGCTGTTATTTTCAGACATGCACAGAGTAGTAAAAATTTGAGTTGCCAGCTGAGGTTAAACAAGGCTTTGCCTTCTTGTTCTGTCTCAAACTTACCTATTTAATGGCAAGTTTTTTCCATTTTTTGCTAATTGTTGGTGGTTGCTGTTTCAAATGGCCCCCAATTTCACCATGTAAGTACACAGGAAATGAGTCTCCCCAGACACCTAATCTGCCAGCACCCTGACCTTGGACTTCCAAGCTTCAGAACTATGAAAAGTAAATTTCTGTCACTTAAAATAAATATGTAAAATAAAATGGCCCCCAAATGTTGTGCTGAAGTTCCAGCTAGTGTTATGAAGATTTATTTATTTTTAGAGAGAGGCGAAGGGAGGGAGAATGGGAGAGAAACATCGATCAGTTGCCTCTTGTGTGCACCGCTGTGAGGGACTGAACGTGCAACCCAGGCATGTGCCCTGACCAGGAATCGAACCAGCGACCTTTCACTTTGCGGGACGATGCAAACAACTGAGCATCTGTCGGGTGGTGGGGGGGGTGTTTAAATCCTCACCTGAGGATATGTTTATTGATGTTAAAGAGTGGAGAGAGAGAAAACAACATTGATTGCCTCCCGTACAGCCCCCAACTGGGACTGAACCCACAGTCTGTGTCCCCTGGCCAGAAGTCAGACCCACAGCCTTTGGTGCACAGGCTGATGCCACAACTCACTAAGCCACCCGGCCAGGGCCAGCCGTCTTGTGTTTAAGTCCAAGAAGGCTGTGATGAGCCTTAGATGACCTTCAGGCATGAGTTACAGCACCGTTGGCTGTGAGCTCAAGGTTAATGATATATATTTATTACTGACAAAGGTGTCTTTAAACATAAACACAAAGTAAGGCTATGTGTTGATCAGCCGATGTGACTAGAGGCTCATGGGAACCCAGCCCTCTGTTTCCTGATCAGCAGTGGTTTGGTGCTTGCTGCTTCAGTGTCCGCAGCGACTTCATGTAACATAACTCCCGTGAATAGTGACAGCCGGGTGTGTGTGTGTGTGTGTGTGTGTGTGTGTGTGTGTGTGTGTGTGTGTGTGTGTGTGTGTGTGTGTGTGTGTGTGTGTGTGTGTGTGTGTGTGTGTGTGTGTGTGTGTGTGTGTGTGTGTGTGTGTGTGTGTGTGTGTGTAGAGTAAATGAGCAATCCTGGAATGACAGGCACGTTTCCCGAAGCAAGGAGTGGCACCGTGTGTCTGTGTTCCCAGTGCTAGCAGTACTGTGTCTCACCTGCAGAACGGCCGTCGGACGGCCCACCCTGTGTTTGAATGTAGGGTCACAGGTGTCACGGAGAGCTCCTCACCTCTTCCTAGATCTTCCCTAGTATAGTAACTGTCCGACTTTCTGAAAGGCATTTTTTACGGGTCCTCTCTCCTTAGACCCCCACTGCCATCCACCAGCACCTGCACTAGAGCTGGGCCTGCCGGCGCGACGTCTCTCCCTTTGGCAACCCTCTGCAGGCGCCTGTGGTGGAAAAACAAAGCAGAAGCCTGTCTTCATGTCCTCCTACCACCACCATTTCTCGCCTTCCTTCTCAGCAACGCACCCTAGGAGTTCTCTGCTCACTTCCACCTCTTCTCCCTCATCTCCCTCAAGTTTTCCTCCCCATCACTCCACTGAAACCCTCATCTTGCCCACTCCGGCCTTCAGTGTCTGTCTGTGCAGTGTTCCAAACTCCTCTCCGCATTCTTGACAGGACTGTCTGTCCCTTGCTTCTCTACCCATACTCCACGTGCTGGGGTGACCCAGAGGGCTGTCTTCTGTCGTTCACCAAATTGAGGCTCCAGAAGATTCTGTCCAGCCCATGGCTTTACCCGCCGTCCTCACGGATGCCTGCTGGGCTTGTGCTTCAGCCCCCATTCGGAGTCTCGGACACACGTCCACTTGCCACCTCCCCTTGGGTGTCTCATGGGCACCTTGCACTTCATATAAGAAAAGAAAGCTTTTCACCCCCTAAGTGCATTGCTCTTCCTTCTTCCTACTTGGTAAACTGTGTCGCCATCCACCCAGAGGCTCGACGCCGGGTCTGGGAGTGGAGCTCATCCTTGTTTCCGGTTTCCCTCACCCCTCCCCACACCCTCCATCACCACGTCCTGGAGCGGCCCCCTCATACTTCCTTGTCCGTCCGTCCCCCCCCCCCCCCACAGCCTACACCACTGTGTCTCTTGGGCTTGGGTGGATGCCATGGCCTTTTTCTACCTGTGTGCCCCCCACCCCCCACCCCCCAACCACCACCACAACATACAGCAGTCAGAGTGATCTTTTAAAAGCAGAAACCAGACCTTGTCACTCCTCTCTGTGTTAAGCCCCTGACAGCTCCCCTCACACTTTCAGGCTCTGCTCTCCACCCCTGCCTTTCTCACGCCCTGCTGCCCTGCTTCCAGGACCCCCTGTTGGAGCTGTTCCTGCCTCAGGAGCCTGCCCTGGTTCTGCCTCTTCCATCAGGCCTCAGCGCTCCACCTTCCTGCCACCACCGTTTCATTTTCTTCATTGCACCCTTCACCTGTTTACTTACCCTCCTCGCCCTGTCCCATGGGCGCCCTGGCCCAGACTCAGCTCTGAGTTCCACCAGGGCAAGGCTCTGCCCGTCCTGCTCTCTGCTGCGCCCCTATGCCCGCACAGTGCTTAGGTCATAGTAGATGCTCAGTAAATGTCACACGATGGAACAAATTCCAGTGACGGACACAAATGCGTAAGTCGTTCATACCTGCAAAGGCGCTTCTGTGGCAGGAAGAACCCAAGAGAAGAGGTATGCAGGTTGGTTACGCTCGCTGGGGACCGCTGCAGTGACGCCCCCAGTGCCGGTGCGGCTGGCCCGCCGAGGGGCCTGCCCGAAACTCCAGACTCCCTGCCCAAGCATGTTATTTCTTTTAAAGATTTTATGTATTTACTTTTAGAGAGGAAGGGAGAAAGAGAGGGAGAGAAACATTGATCGCTTGCTTCTCACAGGCCCCCAACTGGGGACCTGTAACCCAGGCATGGGCCCTGACTGGGAATCGAACCAATGACCTTTTGGTTCGCAGGTCGCTGTTCAGTGCACTGAGCCACACCAGCCAGGGCCCTGCCCGTGCATTCTGAACAGGCACCTGAGGAAACTGCACTATGAACCCCCCCACCCCAGCCTGTACCCTGGGAAACTGGTTTGGAGCACGTTAAATGTCATTACTATTTTTTAAATTTACTTCTCTGCTTCCAACATTTATCTTTTAGAAAAAATAAAAATTACTGACCTGAGTTAGAGGAGTGATGTTCTATTGTTGACTTTTGGAAATAGGACTATAACTAAATCCTGTTTCCAGACTACATGGAAAGAGCTGCGTGGAAATATTTCCTTTGGAATTGTCACTGGAAAAAGTCATGTTTCCTCTTCTCTCTGTAAGCTGATTGATGTTTGCTGTTACGCGTACGTCACTGGAGTGGGCTACACTGACCGTGTATTAACATCTCAGTGAGGACAACACCCGCAGAAACTAACGTAGGACAGGACCTGTCTGGCAGTGTTCAGTTTTCTGTTTTCTTTTTTTCAAGATTACGTGTATTCATTTTTAGAGAGAAGGGAAGGGAGGAAGAAACAACATTTGGTTGCCTCTCACATGCCCCCAAATGGGGACCTGGCCCACAACCCAGGCATGTGCTCTGACTGGGAATTGAGTCTGTGACCTTTCAGTTTGCAGAACAATGCCCAGTCCACCACGCTGCACCAGTCAGGGCAAGTTCAGTTTTCTTGTTCCATAGAATGTAGCGAATGTTTACTGGTCACCTACTAAATCCAAAAGGATTCCTAAGTGGGAATGATGGCGAGCAAGACACGGCCCTCATCTTCAAGAAACTCCAGATCTGGTCAGAGAAAAAAGGCCAGTGCAGGCAGCATGCAGTGCTGTGTGGGCATGTGACTCAGGCCTCCACGGCAGGATTGCGAAGAAAGCAAGCTGAGCAGGAGCAGATGCTCTGCCTCTAAAGCACATTAAGGGGCCAAGTGGATCCAAGGCCCCAGGGAAATGAAAGGGCTGGGAGTAAAGGGTGGAGTGGGGAGACACAAGGGGGTTTTTCACCTTGCAGTGTGGAGAATAGATTGGAAGGGGGCAGGTGGAAGCCTCTTGCAATAATGCAGAGTGGAGGTGATGGCCTGAATTAGGATTGAGGTCACCGGGGACAGGGAGAGATGGGGGAAATTCCAGAGACATGTAGGCAGGAGAATTCACAGCACTTGATGGGAAGGGGAGGAGTCAGGAAGGACACCAGATCTATAGTAGTGTCACCAGCTGATGGATGGATGACAAAATAGCCCCTGAGACAGGTGATCCAGGAGGTAAGAGGAATTCAGCTGTGGACATGGTGAAGTTTGGGGCTCCCCTTGACAGGCTGGGAAAAGGTCAGGGCTGGAGGTGATGATTTGAGTCACCAGGCTCCTGAGATAAGGGAAGTGGGCAAGACCAATCAGGAAGGGGTATACAGAGGGGGACCCAGACAACCCTGAGAAATACCCACGTCTAGGGGACAGGCAGCAGTGGACCCTGCACCGGGGTGGTGGTCGGGGGGAGAGTCAGGTGGGGTCACCAGAACAACAAAAAAAAAGTGTCTCCAGGTAGAGGGAGAAATGACAGGAAAGGCCAGGGTGGAAATCTCTTCTGATGTAGCAACACAGAGTCAGTGGACCACAGCAAAGAAGGAAGTGGTGATGACAGCTCCCTTCCGAAGTTTGGCCTGAAGTGGGGAAGACGGAGGCAAGAAGGGGTGGGGCTGAAGATGGAAGGAGGCTGAGAGGGAGAAAGGCGGGTCTCAGGGGGTGCAGGAAGGGAGGCAGGGGGCAGAGAACTAAGTGAGAAAGGGTCAGAAAGCAGGGTATTTGAGTTGAAGATTTCACAGAGGGTAATGACAAGGGCTAGACCATAAGAGTGAATGACCGAGGGGATACCTGATGTGTCAGGGGACTGGATACGTTGTTCACACCAGTGGGGTGGGCGTGCTGGATGCTGAGATCTGGGGCGGAGAGGAAAGCAGGGACCACAGTCTTCACTGAAGGGAGGGCATCTGTGCATGAGGAAGACTAGCGGGTGGTTGACCCCGGTGGGAATGCCTCAAAGAACTGGTCTTTTTCAAGTGTGGGGTAGCTTAGGCCTTGGGGGAGGAAGCCACTTGCCAAGGTCAACCAACTAGGAAAATAACAGCCCAAACTGTAGCGCAGGCGTATGCTGGGGGACCAGTACTTGTGGACCTTCGTTTGAACCTCCTAGCCCCTCATGCAGCTCTCACTCAACTGCCTGGGCACCTCCAACCACTAGCACTGTGATCGGTGCATCTCTCTCAACAGGGCGCCATCACCTTCCTGAACCTGCTGGGGGTGGGGGGAAGCAGTTTCTCTGTGGCGGGAAGCTAGCCCTGAAAAGCACTGGTGACTGTGACACATGTGGCTTCTGCTCTCGTGTGCTGGATAAGTGTGCTGGGGACGGGGGGGCCCACTAGCACAGGACTTTGTGGGGGATGTGCGCTCTGGCTGCAAGGCTGAGAACTCATTAGGCAAATGGTCTTGTTGCTGAAAGAATTCTCGTCTATGACACAACTTCTGTAGTTTACAATGTTTTTCTTGTTTTTCAGGTCATCTAATGCAGGGCTTTGAGGTGTGAAAGCCACAGTATGGTTGCTTTCTGAGGATTTTGCCCTCTGAAACTCAGATGACCCCTCCCCTGTAGCCACCGAGGCGGGGCAGTAATCAGATCCTGATTCTCCTATAACCTTTGTTAGGGCAGTAACCAGAGGGGGACTGGCTTAGTCTGCTTTGTAAGCGTCCTCCTGGATCAAAAGGCATCATTTCTGGAGAAATGTGTCACGGTGCAGTGCAGTGTGATAGATGGAAAAATCCTATGTAGGGCATGCAGGAAAGACTCTGAGGGGCTGTCTGGGCTCGCCTCGTAGTGAATCATGCGTGTGCACTTCCTGAAAAGAACGTTCTTGTTCGAATATCTCGGTTGTAACACCGCGGAGTTGACCATTGCGGACAAGAGGTTCCCTGCAGCAGCGGATGGAAGGCGCAGGGGCACCGAAGAGACACGTTCACCCCAGGTGCCAGCTCTCCGCGCGCGTTCACCAGGGTTGGAATTCCCAGAGTGCGGTACCCAGGTTAGGTCCCCGCGGATTTCAAAGGGCCTGGGAGAGGGGAGAGTGCTTTGGGTGACCACCTGACAGCTCCAGCTAGCAATCTGCGCAGTGTCACAGTCCACCTAAATTCGCGCGTGGTCGCCTCGACCCTTCCCAAAGAGTCTGCCCTCCACCCGTCTCCCCACGTTCCCTACCTCACCCCACCCGCCCTGTAGTCAGATAATGGGATCCCTGTTCCCTCTCTTTGCAGGATGCGCACTTTTGGTCTCTCTCCACCCCTCCGCACAGCCAATGATCGGTCCCGGGCATCTTCTGGAACTCACCCTGAAAACCCCGTTCTGGTCTTAGACCCTCACACCTCGGGTCGGGCAGGGCCTACCCTTTCCTGGACTTGCCTCCCGGATCTAGGGTGGGACAGCGCAGCTTCATAGTTCTGTTACTGGGCCTAGGACTGCCGCGCGGCCGGCCAGTGAGCGAGAGAACGAGAGATGCCCGGGCTTCCGGCTCATCTGGCAGCCACTGCGCCAGTATCTGTCCCGTGCTACCTGAGGCGCGCCCGGGGACAGGAGAGATGCGCACCTTTTGAGGGTTTTTGCACCTAGGAGGGATCACGGCCACCAGGCAGGGGGTCTCCGGACCCCCAGGGAGGGCCGCAAGCACCGCCCCTCCCCGCCCACCGGGTCACGTGGCCTGCAGCGCCCCTGCAGGCGGGTCACGTGACGGTAGCGCGCTGTTGCCTTGGCAGCGGCTGGGGCCTGCCCACTGGACGGGGCAGCTGGTGGAGGCGGGGCCGAGGGGTATTCCGCGGGACCGGCGGAAGAAGAGAGGTATATGTGCTCTGCGCCCTGGCCGGGACGCGGGGCAGCCCTGTAGCCGCCGGCACCGAGAGGGCCGGATGGGCAGAGCAGCTCGGTGAGTGCGCGTCGCTGGGGGTCCGGAGGAGACAGCTGGGTCCCCGCCTCAACGGCGGAATCCGAATTGCACCAGGAGACTCGGCTGGGGAGGGGACGCGCTTTCCCTTGGGCAGGCTCAGAATGGGACGGCTGTGGGGTGCGGGGGCGGCCAGGTGACCCAATCCCACTAGATCCTCGGGCGGGGTGCGGCGCCGGGAGGACTGGGAGGTTGGGGGCGTGGGCTGAGTCTGGGTCCTACGGCCGCTGGGGCTTCCCTGGGGGAGGAACGGAGATGCAGATGGATGCCTCTGGGAGACCCCTGTGGGGACTGCTGGGCCCCCGCTCACCACGGGTATGACAAAGAGAGAATGAGAAACAGGCGTTTCTGCGGGACACTCGCCGTTGCTCACGCCCCAGATGCTTAAACGAAGTTAAGACCGCCAAACCCACCCCCTGTATGTTTCAAGCAGGCCTGCCAAGGAGAGTAACTAATGCGGAGGGAGTCCCTGTTAGTGTACCAGACCTCCTTTCTCTGACTTCCCGTATATAGAAACAAACGAAAACCCTTCCAGATTCCGCCAGGAGAGCATCCTTTGGAGCCTCTGCCACCTGACTGAAATGCCGGGCTCCATCTTGCCCCTCCCTACCCGCATCCTGAGTTGAGTGTGAGAACCAGACTCTGCCCCTCCTCGGCCAGGGGACGCCTGGCACAAGGGAGGGCGGTGGGACTGGCAGGGATAGGGTGAATTTGAATCAGGTCTAGGCTGCTCCCTCTTCAGGAAGTGGCTTTTCTATCTTCAGGACCCAGGCTCCAAGCAGACAGGCAGCCCTCCTTCCTTCCCATCCCTGCCATTCTGAGGATGTTTACAGGGCTTCTGGGACTGCCCTGGACACTCCCAGGAGGTCACCGGCAGACCTCACTGCCCTGAAAACTCTCCATCTCCACTTCAGAGCTTGAGCCCAGCCCCCTGCTCAATGATGGCCCCAGGCCTTTCCTCCCCTTCACCACATGCTTGCCTTTCTTTTGGGAGGCCACCAGGCCTTCCTGCCATTTCACTGGGCATACAGACTAGGCTGGCCCCAGATTCTTCCCCTCAATTAACTCCTTCCCTGACTCACACCATGCACTGCCAGACAAAGTCTGGCACAGTCACACTGCCCGGGCCTCCCTGGAGTCCGGCAGTCCCTGTATTCCGTGCTCCCCACCCCCCATTTCCATGACCCCCTCTGCAGCCAGCCTTCCTGCCGTGTCCCCTGCCTCTCAGAACCCTCTCACTGGAGAGCTTCTTGTCTCTGAGGGAGGTTCCCTCTTTGCCAATGTTGCCTTCACTGCCTATGTCTTGTGCCCTATCTTTGCTCCCTAAAAGTGACCTTCTCCCTGCCCAAAGCTGAGGCAGCCAGCACCTCCTCTGCTCCCTCGGCCCTCACACCCGCTCCACTAAAGCATTTAGGTTGTTGGATGAGAATCACCCCCTTATCTTGCTGCCACAGTGGGCGCATGAGCTCACAGAGTCCTCACCTTTTTCATCTTTGATGCCTAGATACCAAGTGCTGTCTTACTTCAGGGCCCAGTAAGTGTCGCTTCGGTGCAGGATGTTGGATGGAGAGACAGGTGCTCCGAGGGGGCAAAGGGTTTGCCTTCAGCCCTCCACAGGCAGTACACTGTCTTTGTCATGCCTGTAGGCCCACTTCTTTACATAAAGAAAAAAGAAAGAAAAAGTACGTTTCCAAATGATGCCATTATAAATTATTTGGAGCTAACCAAGGGCTTGGTTGGTGAGCAACATTACTCTGAATTCTCCCCCAGGGAAGGGACCTGCCGGTGACTGCAGACGTGGGCAAGGGGACAGTGACCAAGGCTGACCCAGTAATTGACATCCCTAGCAGAAATAGGAGAGCACAGAACTGTTCCCCGGGGTCCTGTTGGCCAGTAAAAGCTGTGCCTCTACAGCCTGGCAGTGAACAAAGAGGAAAGCACACCGGAACAGAGCCCTTCTGACTTCCAGGACCTTCCCATAGTTTTAGAGAGTGGCATGGATGGATCAGATGTGGGTTATGTTCTCAGCTGCTGGCCCTGGCGAACACCCCTGACCCCACCCACCCATCCCCAGCCACACTCCTTGGTCTGTTTGTAAGAGCTTTAAGTAGGCTTTTCATGGGGCCTTTTGGGGGCCCTAAATGCACAAGTTCATGCCTGATGCCAGCTGAGCTGTGAGGTGCCTGTGTCCTTGAAGCTTGCCCTGCAGATTAATTAGAGCCGATCCCTGTGTGCACCCACACAGCCAGCCCCGGGGCCACACGAGACTACCAGTCCCTGTCTGCTTTAGGGGAGATTCAGGTTCAGATTCACAAATCTGAACAGGTCAGTCTTTGCAGTCTTCATTCGTATTACCGTCACACCAGATGTCTCCCTGGGATAACTCCAGGGGTCTCCAGTCTCCACTCTTCGTAAACATTCTTATGTCAGTTGGTGGATTTAATTCTTTGTAAAGATTTTGTTTATTTACTTTTAGAGAGAGGGGAAGGGAGGGAGAAAGAGAAGAAGAGAAACAGCAATGTGTGAGAGATACATCAATCGGTTGCCTCTCGCACGCCCCCACCTGGGGACCTGGCGCACAGCCCAGGCATGTGCCCTCACTGGGAATCAAACTGGCGATATTTCTGTTTGCAGGCCAGCACTCAGTCCACTGAGCCATGCCACCAGGGCTAATTTTTCATTTTGCTAAATGTTTCCATCTCAGCCTGGATGTGGCTGTACTTTAGGTTTATAACCAAGTGTTTTTTAGGGTGAACCATGCTGATTAAAATTTAAATTGGGTTTGAGAAACTAGCAGCTGCTTGGAAAGGTATATTTCACTGTTGATCCTTGAACACTGAAAAACAGTTCTGAGTCCATTATCTTGTTTAAGAGCCCTATGGGGTGGGGATGTCCTCATTTGAAGATGAGTGAGGTCAGCAAGGTCAGGTGTGGCACCCAGCCTCACACCATCGGGGTCAAATCCAGACTTGGTAACTTGAGGTCCTAGGATCTTTGTAAATGCCACAGCGCACTAGTCCCTGGTGATAAGTACAAATGGGAGAATTGTCTTAGGCTCTTGACCCACCTTGGAATTCCATTCAGCCGAGAGCTCGGGATGGGAGGCCGAATTCCTGCTTTGCGGAGGAACAATGTTGGATGCTGTGGCGGTTCTCGGAAATGCACCCCCAACCCTCTGGTCCTAGATGGTCCCCATGTTCCAGTGTGGGGACTGTGTCGGAGAGCAGGCCCCCCACGCATACACCCCGGGCCCCCGCAGCTGCAGTGTAAGGTGCATACAGTGGGCCGCAGAGAAGATGAACTGGGCTTGGATTCTGGATTTTCCAGGCCCTGGAACCGTTCGGGATGCCTGACTGTGTTCCTGCCCTGCCCCCCAGCCTGGCCGCTGTCATGAGTGCTGAGCTCAGCGTGCCCGTGGACCCCTCCACTCCCGTCTGCTCAGAGCCGGCCCACAAGGGCATGGATTACCGGGACTGGGTGCGCCGCAGCTACCTGGAGCTGGTCACCTCCAACCACCACTCCGTGCAGGCCCTCTCCTGGAGGAAGCTCTACCTGAGCAGGGCCAAACTGAAAGCCTCCAGCCGAACGTCCGCCCTCCTCTCGGGCTTTGCCATGGTAAGTGCAAACACTTGGTGGGAACGGAGCCTGCAAAATGGGCTCTGGCTAATCAGTATCCTGCGATGCTTCAGGGAGCAAAGCAGTCCCTCTGGGCCTCATCGGCAGCCAGGATGGACCTTGAGGAGGTTTCCCTGCATCCCATCTCCTCCACAGCGACTGCTCTGTCAACCAGAGGGCTTGCTGGGAGATATGGGGGAGTTCTCAAGCCTCAGAGCCCACAGGAAGCACTGCTCTCACATCTACATCAAATGCTTGGCAAAGAAGTTAGGGCGGTAATTAAAATAGCTTCAGGGTATAGGGTTTCCTGGAGAAAAGTACCCACATCTGCCCATCTCGGGCACCACCCAAGAGTCTGGAAATCTCAAGGGCTTGAGCAGGAACTGTGGGCTTGCTTGGGGTTTGCACAGTGTAGCCCACCGGGGGACAGATGCACTCAGATGTGGCCTCCGGGTGACTAAGCAGAGCCTCTGGCCTCCTTCCCAGTCGCCCAGCTGTGACTTTCCTTCTGAGTCATCCTCCAAGACAAGAGTCCTGCTCAGGCACTGTTGACTTTAAAGCCCTCAGCCCTCATCCCTTTAGGGAATTATCCCCTGGGGGCACACATGTCAGGAGTCAGAATTCCTGGGGCTGCAGCCACGTCTCTCTCTTGTATGCTTAGAGGTCCTTTTGGGCCGGAAGTGGGTTTTTCTGAAATGCAAAAGTAGTTGTTGTTTCACCGTAGTCCAGAGGCTCAGCTGTCAGATTGCTCATGTGGAAAAGACAAGGCTGTGGGAGTGAGCCCCTGTGGCTGCTCTGACAAGGGTCTGCTTGGTCGTTGGTGGGGCCACCCTTGGAAAAATGACATCCAGGGTGCAGCGGAGGTCACCCAACTGAGAGGCAGTAAATTTGTGTTTAGGTCTAGTTAAAACAAAGGCTTAACTAGGCCTCACATGTTCTGTTTTTAAAGCATTATTGCAAAAGTGTACAACCCCATGGTGTCCGACTCTGGCTCATAGTGACTTTCTTCCTGTGGCTCCTGCCATGTGGAAAAGACAGTTTTCTTGAGCTTAATCTTAAGGGATGTGTGTGAGAAGTTTACACATCACTATCAAGATTAGTGCTTGTTTTCCACGCCACAGGAGAGTTGTGGTGCAGCATTACGCTATGCTGGCCTGTGCTGCATTATCTTTTCAACTCGAGAAACACGGGCTCCGCGGAGCCCCTGGCACGGCGAGGACACCCTGCCCGCGTGGGGCCCGATCTTGGGGTCACTTCCTGTCTGCACCTGTCTTTTCCACCCTGGCCTTCCAGACCTTGGGATTTCCAAACCTAGGGCAACGTCTCTGCTTTCCAGCCAACAAAATGCTCATCCAAGTTGAAGTCTTTAAAACCACTCGTTCAAAATTTGAAAACAAGCTCTTGAATGAAGTTATCAAACAATGAGTGAATTCCAGAGGAGTAGTTGAGATGCACTGGCCGCCTCCAGGGGTCTGAAGGGGTCTTAGAATGAGAATAGTGACCACTGAGAGACGAAGACCCTGGACGCGGGCCCAGAGTGCCTGCCGTCCTCAGCACTGCAGGGGCAGTCACGCCTCCCAGGAGTGCGTCGCTTCTGCAGCACTGATGGGGAATCGCCTGTGTGCCGGCAAGGGCTTCAGTCAGCAGCCGGGGGCACCTTTTAGAAGCCGCGCAGTGTCTTTGCCTTCTCTTCTAGAAGGTCCCTTTCAGGGAGGCTGCCCCAGCCTCACGCGCACCAGAGACTCCACAGGACAGTGAGAACTGGGAAGCCAGGGAAACAGCATGGAGCCAGGACGGGGTGGGGCAAGCAGCGGCAACGCTCGATTAGTTCAGCAGACCACCAGTGAGTCAGGCTGCTGCTCAGACCGTGGGCGGAGCAGCCCGGGAGAAGGAGGCGACCGGGCGACTGTCAGCCGGCACTTAGGCCGCAGGAACCTGGCCAGATAAGGGCTGGGACCCAGAGGAAGGAGGCGGGCTGCTCTGAGGAGGGCCCTCTTTATGTCGTGTGCTCCCTCGGTAGGACCAAGGTTAGAACCAAGGAGTTGTTTCCTTGTCCAACGGTGAGGGCTTGTGCCCAACCTGTGGCTTATTTCTTCACGTTAGCCTTCTTCTGACACACAGAACCAGAGAGCTGAGGCCCCCTCTTAAAATCTTCACACAAACACAAGGGAAGGTGGCCTTTCGGCCTTTTCTCCTGAGGCGGAACAAAACTGCTTCCTCGTAGGCCTTTCGATCATCTTGGCTTCTTATCTTGGTGCTCTCTGTGGTTTACAACATCCTCTTGGGGGCCTTATCCTTTGTGGCAACAAGAGCCCGCCCAGGCCACAGGGGCACCAAGAAGAGACCCCTCAACTCCTGCTGTCAGCTGCCGTCCTGCAGGACAGTGATCGCTGCTGGTTCCCGTTCCGGCACGGCCCCTGGGGCTGCCATCTCTTCCCTGTTACCGCCCAGCCTTCCATCTCCTCTGAGGGGGCGAGGTGCTCGCTGGAAGAGGGGGCAGTTGCTAGAAGTTGTGAAATCTTTCTTGGTAGTTTTTAAAAACAGGGATGGCTCAGATCTGGGAGGCAAACACAGTGGGGAGCGGGCAGGGGGCAGGGTGCGGGGGAGCCTTCTCCAGCCTCTTTCTGCCTCCTGCCTCCTTGCTGGTCTGGTGTTTACCTGGGAGGAGGCCTTCCCTTGGCGAGCCCAGAGCCCTTGCTGGGCCTGGACTAAACCCTCCACTGGCAGGTCCGCAGTGCTGAGAGCTGGGATGGGGGCGGTGGTGGGGGCTGGGCCTCCCAGGGAGCTATTCCGGATGGGCGGCTCCTGACCGGGCAGGGGCAGGGGCACAGTGGTTTGAAAGCCCCTTAGGCCCGGGGTGAGCAGGCACGGTGTGAATGGCTGTAGGCATTCACTGCTCCAGCTAAGCTGGGGCTTCTTCTGGTTCCCTTTGTGAGTCTTCCCTGCCCTTTCATTTAAAAATAATTTTTATTTTGTCAGTTATTATATGCTCAGGGTTTAAAAATTAAGAACAGGTGACTCTTAAACAGCATGGGTTCGAGCTGCACGAGCCCACTCACACTGCCCGGTGCCCCAGCGCTCCTGCACTGCTCAGGGGCCCAGTGCGCCGGGATGAGACCTGCAGCAGCCCCAGCGGGGCCCTGTCCCCACTGCCCGAGGGCAGCTGCTTGCAGCTTTCTCGGTCTCCATGTTCCCAGGAAGCCCATTAGGAGACTGCTGTTTCTTGGTTTGTGCCTTTAGATGTCACCTGTTGGCATCCTGTGACTGTGGTCAGTGGCTCAGCTCGCTGTCCCCTCCCGGCCTCCTCCCCACGGCCGTGCCTCCTGCCCACAGTCCTCGAGGCCGCCACCTCCCTGGCCCTCAGACACGCAGGTGCCCTCGCCGGCTGTTGGCGTCAGCAGGGAGACGCACCCATGGGCTCGGAGAGGCTGGCTCGGTGTGCAGCTCTGAATCTGGGCACCCTCCGGAACCTCTGTTTTCACTTTTTTTTACCTTTTGAAAGTTCAGTTTTTATTTTTTTAAACAGTTTTTTTCGCAGCTGAGCCCCACTGCAGCCTGGCTGTGACACCAACAGTGAAGCCACACGTTCCCAGGGGAGGGTGGCCTGTACCCTGGCCCACAGCTGAGCACCTCAGCACCTACTGTGTTCTGTGTCGCGGAGGCATCTGGGTGTGGTCCTGCCCCATCCTGTGCTTCTCCAGTCTCTTCTGTACTCTGAGATTTTTTTCCTCTGTGAGATCTTCTTTGGCTAGTCAGAAAAAAGGAAAGCTCAAAATAGTTTTTTTAACCGAATTTCTTTTTTTAACTTTAAAAAAGATTTTATTTACTTATTTTTAGAATGACAGGAAGGGGGAAAAATGGGAGAGAAACATCGATGTTTGAAAGATGCATCATTTGGTTGCCTCTCACACACCCCCTACTGGGGACCTGGCCCACCACCCAGGCATGTGTCCTGACTGGGAATCAGACCAGCAACCTTTTGGTTAGCAGGCTGGCACTCAATCCACTGAGCCACACCAGCCAGGGCCAAAATAGTTGAACAGCAAGGAGGATGTTCTGTGCTCTGTAAGGGCCTGGAACGGGGGGCCCAGCCCAACAGCACCCTGTCTGCCTTGCAGGTGGCCATGGTGGAGGTGCAGCTGGAGACGCAGTACCAGTACCCAAGGCCCCTGCTCATCGCCTTCAGCGCCTGCACCACGGTGCTGGTGGCCGTGCACCTCTTTGCCCTGCTCATCAGCACGTGCATCCTGCCCAACGTGGAGGCCGTGAGCAACATCCACAACCTCAACTCCATCAGCGAGTCGCCGCACGAGCGCATGCACCCCTACATCGAGCTGGCCTGGGGCTTCTCCACTGTTCTCGGCATCCTGCTCTTCCTGGCCGAGGTGGTGATGCTCTGCTGGATCAAGTTCCTGCCCGTGGACGCACGCCACCAGCCCGGCCCCGCACCTGGCCCCGGCAGCCACACGGGCTGGCACGCTGCCCTCGTGTCCACCATCATCATGGTACCCGTGGGTCTCATCTTCGTTGTCTTCACCCTCCACTTCTACCGCTCGTTGGTGCGCCACAAAACCGAGCGGCACAACCGAGAGATCGAGGAGCTGCACAAGCTGAAGGTGCAGCTGGACGGGCACGAGCGTAGCCTGCAGGCTGTGTGAGGGCCGGGGCGGGGCCGGGGCGGGGGCGGGGGCTGGCAGGAGCAGCCTGCAGGTGAGGGCGTTTCAGAGATGTAGACTGCCATGAGGCTGCCTGGACACTGCCAGCTAGTTCAAGACCAAAGTTTTACTCCTGTCTTCATGCTGTAAAAGCTGGATCATTTTTCCTCAGGAAGTGGGGATCCTTAAACGGGAGACTCTGTTGCTAAGAGCTCAGGGCAGAGAAAGGCTGAGCGCTCAGCGCTGGGGAATCCTGAGACAGGAGCCACAGAAGGGTCGCCCCGTGGCCAAGGGGCTGCGTGGCAGCTGGGTGGCACATATGGCAGTGCTGGCCTACTATGGTCGGGTGGGGGCTGTGGTGATCGGATGGGCCCAGGACCACGCTGGGCCTGGTGCTTCCCTCCCCTGCCCTGGGGGCGCTGGGTGGTCCGGCTTGTGGGGAAGGCTGGCACCCGGGGTATGTGTCAGCCCAGCAGGTGTGCTGGGTGCTCCAGGAGGTGGTAGACTTGTCAGGGCCTGGGGTAGACTCCCAAGGGTGGGGGTCTGGCAGGGTCGGGGAGGCACGTCTGGGAGCAGCCCCCTCGAGGAGGCTGTTAATGGAGAGGTGCTCTGAAGCATGCCAGGCTCAAATTCTTTCTTCCCGGCCTGCCTGGAGCCCTGGCCAACTAACCCAGCAGGGTCACCAGGCTGGGAAGGGCCACAGTCCAGAGCCCTCCAACTCTTGGTCCCTGGATGCTCTCTGAGCCTGAGTCAGCTGATCGTCCGGGCGGTGGCCACGGAAGGCTAAGGGCACTTGCTCAGGTGGCCGCGCCTGCCGATCCCCCTGCTGCCCCTGGTGCCAGGCAGCGGAAGGGGCAGCTTGGGGACTTCCTGCCTGTGGGTGGTGGCACCAGGGGCCAACCCTGGCCACATGCAGGTCTCACTTATGACATGAAACAACTACAGAGAAGGCACACCCCTACACAGTGCCCCCCCCCCCGGGCCCCGGGCCCCTCAGCAGCACACCGGGGACCAGCTCACACGCTCGCTGCCTTCGCAGCATGGGGGGCTGGTGTTCTCGCCACTGCTCTTCACAGGGGTGGGGCCACCTGAGCCCGTGTTCTCGACTGTTCATATGCGGCTGCAGCTCAGCTTCTGTGTGAGTGTGCTGCACCCTGAGCTGCTTTTATTTTTCCCCATTTTATTTTAATTTTATTGTTCAAGTACAGTTTTCTGCCTCATCCCTGCACCTCTCCCCCGCACCCAAGCCATCCCCACCTCTCTCCCAATTCCAGCCCCCCTTGGTTTTGTCCATGTGTCCTTTATAGTTGTTCCTGAAAACCCTTCCCCCCATTATCCCCTCCCACCTGCCCTCTGGTTACTGTCCGTTTGTTCTTAATTTCAATGTCTCTGGTTATCTGAGCTGCTTTTAAAAACCATGTTTACCACACTGGCCAGCAGCCACCTGGAGGAAACTTTGTTTTCACAAATTGTCACTGAGTCTCATGCTGTGATGGCATTTCTGTTAACAGCCCAATATCTCTGTGGGGTCTGGGTCGCCTGTGTCAAGAAATCCTGACTGGCCTGGCCGAGGTTTCTGGGGATGTGACCTACTGGTGAAAACATAAACCTTAGCCTGTGACTCGGGAATGCTGAGGGGCTCCCTGGGAGCTGTGCTGAGAGTCACCGGTGTCAGTGGTGACACTTCCAGGTGTCCTGGACAATGTCCCGCCCGGCCTCTTCTAAGGGGCTTGTTGCTCTTGCAGCTTCTGCAGACGTCTTTTCTGACTTGCTTGCTCTCCAGTGCGTGCATGTTTCCTCTTTCCCACGGCCTTGTCGAGAAGGCTCACCTGGTCTGATGTGCCTGCTGTGCGAAGGAATGTCAGCATCACAGCAAGACAGCGACTTGGGTCCCGGCAGTGACGAGACAGCTGGCTTTCCCCACAGCCAGGAGCAGGCAGCAAGCCCTCTCTCTGGTTGGAGCCTTTTGGGAGGGGCTGTGCCGGGCTCACTCCTGCTGCCCTTCCCCAGGCATCTGGTACCCCTGCCCCAAGGATGCCAGCCCCCTGAAGTGCCACGCCCCCTAGACTGGGAAGCACACTCCCAGTGCCAGTGGGGGCCTGTCGTTATGCCGGACCTGTGGGCAGTTTTGACTGTAACAGGGTCAGGTGCTCGGTGCCCAGTGATGGTGCCATGGGAGCAGGAAAGATGCCACATGCCATGTTCAAACACTGGGAGAATGGTCTTCTCGTAATTCCTCGTTTTCTCATCCAGAGTGCTTTCCCGCTCCAGCCTTCCAGAGAATTTCTGTTGGAGCTGCAGGAACAGCTCAGCAGGGCAGTGTGGGGAAGGGGCTGGCAAATGACAGGCTAGAAATGTGGATTTGGGAGGTTTAATGTGACTGCGAGTGTTCTGGTACGGCGGCCATTCTGTGGCGAGGTGCTCAGGGCCACCCAGGGGCCGGTGTGGCCTTGCCCGATTCCCTCTGAACAGACCTTCCGGTGCTCCCAACAACTGCCTGCAAGGACTGGGGGCCCATTCCAGAGTGGGGCGCAGTCTCCCTTCAGTACTGATGAGAAGCTTCAAAACTCAAGTGTTTCCATTTTAGAGACGGTGAGGGCAGAAGGTAGTCCGTGTCTTCTGGGAAGGTCTGGGGGATGAAGCCGCGGAGCCCGGGTGGAGGAGGTTCATCTGCAGTCTCACCTGTCTCGTGCTCATCAGTTCGTTATGCATGACACTGTGCAGACCACGTATGGGGTGCAGAACCACTGTCCTGTGTACAGGTTTCTAAAAGTTGGTCTGGATTGAATAAACGAACTCTGTCCTTGGTGGAATGCTGTGGGTATCCCTGTTCCTTCCTCGGTGTCTGCTGCCTCCTGGGTCCTCAAGTCCCTCCTGCCTCCTCCTAATTTTGGTCACCAGTCAGTGTCCTAACGGGCTTCCCGGGTGAGGGACTTCTCGGGCAGGGCACTAGGGCCCACACATGCCACGAGGCACCTGACAAATGGGAGTCCCCCTTCCTGCAGCTTTTGTTCCCAAGCAGGGCTCCCCTTTCCAGAGCCACCGCAAGGGGCGGCGCCTAGTACAGCCGAGTGCCGACAGGGCCACCCGGACAGGCAACTCGTGGTCCTCCAGGAGCGGAGCCATGGAAGCTCTGGCCCCACTGGGCTCCCTCCAACCCCAGGAACCTGGGGCTCTGGGGAGGCCGGTGTCCATCTGGGCAGTGGTAATGCAGGTCCCTCCCGCTGCCCTGGCACTCAGGAGGAAACGCCCAGAGCTGTCTTGTAACGGCTGCCCACTGAAGCCCCCTTTAGGAAAGAGTTTCTATCCATTAGTAATTTTCTGGCACTTCAACCTGGATGCCCCTAGGAATTAGGTGTGCAAAGCAGCCGGCACCACTACATGGAACAGTTCTGCCCATACAGGGGCCTGACTGCCTCTACAGCCCAGAGGGGACTTCCCAGACCCTAAGGCACCAAGGGCCTGGGCTCAGCACAGAGCGCCAGGCCAGCAAACTGGCTCTCTGGACCGATTCTCCAGTTCGTCTAGCAAACCTACGGTGGCCAGGCCCACTTACCACCCAGCTGACCTGCTGAGAGAAGTCATTCTAACTCAGATGCTTCTAGAAGGTTGAGGGGGAGGGCCCAGCAGAGTGAAGTGGGATGGGACTGAGTTTACTCCACTTTAGGCCCCTTCAGAACGTGCTGAACCCTTTCCTGCCCCTGCTTCCCCCACAAGGTGATGGGGCCACAGCACAGGCAGTTTCTGCACCTCTTGGCAGAACTAACCCAGAGGGTCCTCCCTGGACTGAGCTCAGCCCATTACACCAGCCTCGGCCTCACCAACCCTGTGAACAACTAACTGGCCCCAGACTTCCTCAACGTCTTTCCAAAGCGGGGCGGGCTGGGGAACACCAGCAGAGTCCCCCCAACTTGCTCGGGAAGAGGATGATTCTGTCAGCACGTTCCCACAGGCTCCTGCCTTCTAGTCTGAGGCCCGAGAGCACTGGCACAGACCAAATAGTGCGCACCACAGACGTCTGGCGTGTAAGGAGAGCAGGAACAGCTCCCTAAAATATGGGTGAGGCAGACATTGTACTGCAGGCTGTGGCTGCAGTGGTGCCTAGGAGCGGCTCTGGAGGAGACTCCCCAGCCCCATCCTAGCTGGTAGCTGAGGTGAGACACTGGCCACCTGGAGCCTGACATTCTTCATGTAGCAGCTTCAAGGACAACTGGGCCCAGGATCACCAACTGTACTAGTGAGGGAGCATTCTCTAGCATGTGCCCTGCAGGATTATGGGAAAGGCCAGAAGTCAAACACCTGACCAGCACTAGGAGATTCCAGGAGAAGCAGCTTCTCTGTGAGTGACTCCCCAGCCTTAACAGGCCTCCCAGACAGATCTTGGGGTACAGCATTTCCTGAACACCTATTCCCACCTTTACTGGCTGAGCATCTTGCAGGCCCCACCCAGGGGTGGGCTGCTCAAGGGCCCAGCCCCCACTGCGCCCTGTGGAGCAGATCACCACACCTGCACGTCTGTAGCTGCTCAGGTGCAACAGGACTGGCTGGAAGAATGCCTGGTATTAAGGACCCAGAGCAGGGTCTATGAGGGCTTGTGTGGAGGTTACAAGACCTGGGAAGAACCTGTCCTCTGCCCTCCTACTCCAAGGGAGCTGACTCAGTGGCACTTAAGGCATCTGGGAGCCCACCAGTCCCCACCCAGCAGCTGGGCTCAGGCAGTCACTAAAGGCTCCAGCAGCCTCTTCATTGGGTCTTCCCAGTGTTCTCCTGTCGGCCCTGCAGGCCCAGGGAATGCTGCCATTCCCTCTACTTCCACAGCCTGCACACCTGGCCGCAGACGCACAGGTGCGGCCACCCACACAGGTGAGTGCCGCACACAGCACCACCTCGTGCTGTCCTGGGAGCTGAAGAGAATTCCCCTCTCACTTTTTAACACCATTGTGAGGGGCAGGGGTGGGGTGGGCTGTGTGTGCATCGGACTCTCGGATTTCCCTGTCCTCACTGCATCCTGTGCCCCAAGGTTGGATTAAGTGTAACCCAGGCAGAGTCTGACTCAGAAGCTGTCACCAGCTCTGAAATTTGGAACAGTAATAAGTTCAAATCTTCTACCAATTCCATTCTCCAATCCCACATGCTACCCAGATGGAGGCGCTTCACAGAGGGGTGTCGGGAAACCTCCTGAGAGAGATGGATAAAGGAGAAAATGGCTTTAAGTGATGCCGATATTTTTTAAACTCAAATTATGCCACTTCCCTCAAACTGTGACAAATTAACCCAAGCGAGTGGCCACGGTGTGGCTCCAAGGGGCTGACCCGAGGCACATGCCCATCAAAACAGTTCCTGGCAGGGCTTGCGCTGCCCTGCGCCAGGGGCCAGCAGTCTTCTCTGAACACCTGATGAGCTGCGAAGGGAGACCCTTGTGCCGGGCTCCCCGCTTCTATCCTGACAAAGAGCTGACTCCGGGCCGGCATCCCAGGCCCGGCGCCAGCTGCCGTTCCCGGGGAGGCGGCTCACAAGGGCCTCCCCTGAAAGGAGAGAGAGATTTGCAGGAGCTCCTGCCCAAGCTCTTGCTGCCTCCCCCCAGCACAGAACTCGGCTGACAGCTCCCTGAAGGTGGCGCACACACGGCGGGCCTCGATGTGTCTGCGATGGATGGCGTGCTTCCACTGGTGCCGTGCGGCCCCAGTGAGCACGAGCAGAGAGCGGCGGGGTAAGGGCACGGCCACCTCCACCTCCTGGCACAGGACGGACCTGCTGGGGGCCATCACGCCTTCCACCAAGGCTTCCGGGAAGCCGGATGGGGCCAGGCAGAGCAGCAGGCTGCCGGGCGCCTCCCGGGACATGGACAGCACGGTGGGAGACAGGAGGTTGAGGCTCACCAGCCGCTCCCCCCACAGCCAGGTGTCGTCCAGGTGGGGGTCGATGGCTGAGCCCCGCTCTGGGCAGTAGTCCAGGTTACACTGCTCCACGGGCCGGAAGTCCTCCAGGATGGGGTAGAGGCCCATTCTCCGCACCACCTCCCGGCTGAAGCTGGGGAGGCCTTGGAAGCCAGTGGTCTTGAGCTTTTGTTTCCGAAAGTTGACTTTGGGACCGTAGTCCTGAAGGAAGAGGACAGAGAGAAGTGGAGAAGTGACTGAGTTCACGGAAGTGTTACTGCACACCAGGCCTCAGGGATTCGGTCACAGTGACCAGAGAGCAGACATTTCTGACTCGTGGGTGTGACGTTCCAGGGGGGAGAGGCCGACGGCACTGAGACAAGAGGAGCACACCACAGAGGCACTG